CAGCGCGGAGCTGACATCAATAAATATATATTCATTTTTATAAAAATGCACGAATTTTAATTAATTGATAAATTCGGTAAAGAGAACAATACACACACTTAAGGCTCTGTCGAATCGGAGGAGGAAGAGTGGTGCGGCTGAAGTGCGGCTGTCAATTACGAGGATGTCGACGACTCCTTGGAGACTTTTTGTTTTATTCGAAAAAAGTTTTGCAATGAAAGTAATCTTTTTTAAATACCCTTAGTTTTCTTAAATCTGGAGGTAAGTTTATAAATTGTAAGTCCTTTCCTTACAAAAATGTCCAGAACAGTTTTTATTTAACTAACTTTAGTACAAAAATAATTTAATTTTATTTAAGGTATTATTGTATTTAGTCTACAGTAAGGGTATCTCCATAGCCTCCATGAAAATCCTTTTAAGCTTTTTGAGATTTTTTATAGCCTGTCCTGTTTGCGGCTTCTGACGTTGTTGGGGCGTTAATATTCATGAATCGAAATAATTTGACAGTTCGGGGCAACATGCGAGTATGCCAGACGGCCCATCCCGGGCCCTGCGATATTTATGCCTCTGCTCCGACTGGGCCGGCGAGCTTTTTGCCCGATTTCTGGTGGCTCCTGGTTCCGGAGCCAACCGGCTGTCAGTGGCCCTGCGTGAGGCGTTGGTGAAAAGTACTCGAAATAATTGACAGCTGTGGCTGCCTTTTTTGTTGCCGTGCCTGCTGCTCGTCTTGGGCTTTTAATTGTAGAATTTTTACAACTCCCGCGGCTCGGCGGTCGCTTCGATCTGTCAGTGTCCGATGGCATCGACTTTGTTGATGACTCCTAGCCACGATTGCCTGGCCTGGTCAGTCATTAAGTCATCGCCAGATCAACTTCCTGGGATAATCCCCGGCCAAGGACCGACAACCGACGACCGTCGACCGATGGCGGATCTTTTATGGACTCATAAACTAGCGGGCCAACATTTACGGGCTCGGCACTCGATGCGGATTTCGATTCGCAGTCTAATCAAACAGTAAAAGTCTCGCTTATCTGCCGGTCGGAGGATCCAGCGCAATCATTAAAGCCTGAGGAATGCGGATTGGTGGATTCGTTGACTTTAGGATCGGGAATCGGGTCGAGCGTTACTTTTACGATAATGGAGACTATCCACTAAGGCACTTAGATTTGGACACGATCAAGGAAGAGATCCTCGGAGCGATAAGATGGCCTTTGAGATGGAGGACGCGGATCTAAAGTAATATCTTTAGTTGAGGCCTAATGGTGCGTTAATTTCTCAGAATTAGGAGACTAACTCTGGCGTAATGGTATGTAAAGTATCTCATTGCGAATTTTTTAATTAAGTAACCATTAAATCAACTTAAGTGGGCTGTAATAGCCGGAATTGTTGTGTTTTTGGGGCTGGAATTTCAATTATTTCTGCATGCTCATAAGTCTCAAGTCACTTGAAATAATTCCATTTTCGTGACAAACTTCCGGACAGAATGAGTTTACTTAAACACATAATTGATCGCAATTGGCAACTCCCCTTTTCTTTTTCCCAACCAATCATAGTACCACTTGGAGAGCATTACCTTGGCCAACACAAACAGCCCTTTGTGTGCCAAGTAAAGCAAATTAATTGAAGTTTAGTCGAAAAGTTGACAGCCAGTCCGAAAGTTCATCATTGGCCAGCTGTTGCCGCTCCGCTCCTTCTGTTCGGCTAATTGTTTTAATGAATTCGTTGCGGTTTTGCGCAATTTGCATGCAACTTTTTCATTACTGATCCAGGCAGCCAGCCAGGAAGCCAGATCGAGAGGCAGATGAGTGCACCGGAATGCAACGTGTGTTTGTCACTGGCACAGAAACACAGAGCGAGCGGAGGTAACCTGTCATGTTGACGGTTTTCCGACATGACCGAGCTGCCAAAACGAGGTGCACACGCAATTGCTAATTGAATTTAAATTGCACTTTAATTTGATGAGCGGCCCGAGATGATAAATTGTGCAAACGCTTGCCAAAGCGCTGACCGCAACAATTGAGGGCGCATTAAAGATTCGACATGCCACTTTCACTCTGCCATGACGACTGGGGGCCCAGCCCCTGCCAGTGCTTGCCAGTGCCTCCCAGTGCCACCCATGCACCACCCAGCCCCCTAGTTAAAATTTTGACCATTTTCGCGGGGGAGACTCGCCCACGCCGCGGCGACTCGCTCTCATAAATTGCAACCCATTTAAATGTGGCAACAGTGGCCGCGACTCTGGGAAACCGGCCGGAGAGCGGAGTGCCATAATTTTAACTCTAATTGCGCCACTGTAAAAGGGGGACCGGGATCTAGTTGCAGCCCGTTGGAGGCACTGCGATGCCTAGACTGGTCCCAGTCAATTTAGCGATTTTTGCGTTTATTTTTCGTTTAATGAAATTACAATAAACGCCAGTCGCATGCAAAGCAGCCGGCTTCAAAGGAGCACTGTGGAGTGGTGTCGTGCTGCACTGCGTCCACATGTGTGTACGTAAACATGGGCACATGAGTTGGCACCACAAAGCACCCATTAGTGCGTTGGCGTCGCAGCCTTTGCTTTGGTTTACTTTGCTTTTCTTAGGCAGTGCTTTACTTAGGTGCACAGAGAGAATTTAATAGTTTAAATCGTTGTTAAGACTAAGAGGTAGGTCTAAATCATTAGGCTATAATTATAACTCCTCTCCTATAATAAGCTGAGATTCCCTTAGTTTCCTATTTAAAACACTTCTAATTTTTGCAAGTGGACACCTTACTTAAGTTCGAAAAACTTCAGTTTAGTTTGCCTACCTTTCGCTAGGTTTTTGAACCAACCCATGCTCCAGAGTCTGAGGTAATCCCCATTATTAGCGCAATTAGTGCAGCCGAGTGGCATTCGGATGGGCCTGAATGCGGCATTGTTGCGTCTTGAGTTATGTACCCACACTCATTTAGCGAAATGCCAATGTGTTTAGCACTGATTGGTGGCATGGTTGGCTGAGATGCTAAAAGGAGGCAAATAAACAGCCGATCATGGCTTTGATTGAAAGTCTTGCGTGGGCTTAGCGGCCTCAACGAGCCATTCAAGCGACTTTCCCCCTGATTAATTACAGGCCTCTTCCCGGCCATTATTGAACTCTGGTTATAGCGAATTAGAGTAAATGCACCGTCCACGGTTAATTATCAATATTATTGCCATTAGGTTAATCGCACTTCATACGGAACTAACGAGCCATAATGGTTCATAATTCGCTCCGATGAGCCGGTTGGCTGTAAACAAACACCTGCTCGATTCTGGGCTCTGGACTTTTTGCATTAACATTCCGATGGCTCACATCGGTTCTGAGCTGGAGCCGGAGTTGGAGACGGAGTCGGAGTCGCAGCCTGGAGCCCGAGGGACTGGACGATTCGCTATAATCGCCGTGTGCTGCACTTGAATACCAAAAGGCTTCGCACATCACCCGCTCTCCTGCCACCTCAATTACAAGCTGCTCCTGACAGGCAGCACTACGTGACACAACCCACTAGCTGGGGGAACCACCTGTTGCGGTGGCTACCGGCTGCTGGCAGCGCCACCAATCCACCAATCCACCAATCCACCAACCCACCAGAAACCACCGCCAACCCATGATGTCCGTTAGCCGCATAACTTGTTGGCGCTGACAACGACAACGGGATTTTGAACACTGATAAAAGGCGACGGTGTGGTGTGGTAGTGCTGTGGTGCGACGTTGCGGTGGGTGGAAATCAAGAAAAAACCATATTTAATAAAATGACAGTGGCTGTCAGACGCCGTCAAAAGAAATACTTTTTGCCAGACAGCCAGACGCGGAGGCCAGGCGGTGGAAAACTTGGCTTTCCAAGCACGAGCCCGGCCAAAAGCCACCCGCCGCAGTCATAAGGCAGCAGCCAGTATTTGGCCAAAACAATGCCAAATGACAATCAACGATTATTGAACATTGTGTATTATTTGTTATTGCATTTTGTCATTCTGTCTTGTAGCAGCACCCGCTCCCCTGCCGCCCGCCAGCCGTTGATATGGCCAATTAATATTAAGGGGGGAAATACAATTAAAAATTTATTTTTTTCGAAAAATTTTTTTTTGTCTTAATGTACTCTAAATATGTCTGGGAATAAGCCTTTAAAAGCATAAAGCTGTCCGGTACTTATTTTCAAAGTAATACGCAATTTAGTGAGAGCGTGTCAGTGGTAAACTTTAGTGAGTGGTAAACTTTAAACGCTTCTACTGAAAAGTCGTGTTTTCAAAGTCGCCGTGCAATGTACAGGTCAGAGATTTCATTTTAATCGAATGCGGTTTTTTGCTTTATGTTTGAAATGAAATTCTCCACAACATGAATTAAAGGATTTTTCATATTTATTTGTTATAACATGTTTTTTTGACGAACAAAGTCGAAAAAAAGTGTGTTTTTTTTAAACATTTTTTTCAATTTCAAATTTTTTCATGGAAACCCCATTTTTTTACATATGAAATAATTCATGTTGTGCGCTGTACCTCTAAGTTTAATGCCCAGTTGCTGTTTTTTGTTTTAAGCCTAGTACTGAGTTGACGAAAATCCGCTCTTGAAATTCCGCTTGCGAAATTGCACTTTATTCGGCTGCCGAGGTAGTGTGACCAAAACAATGAAGAAATAAGGTTATACTGAACAGCTGTTGTTTGTAAACAAAAAACCAATCATCAAAATGAATTCAAATCAATTGGATGTTGGTGTTTTGTTAATGTATCTCACCGCCTCGCGAATATCCGAAATTTGTGCGAAATAATATAAAAAATTATGTTAATTCGGATATGGGTTCTGTGCAATGGCAAGACGATTATGCAGGCATTTTAAACAATTAAGAAAAAGAAATTATGAAATTTATTAAGATATTTTATAAGATAATATAAGAAATAATATAATATAGATAATATAATATATATAATATTATAGAATATAGAAAATATAATATAGAATATAGAAATATAGAAATATAGAAAAACTATATAGATAATATAGAAAAACTTATTAATGGTATTTTGCTTTTTGTTTCAAATCCAACAAAAATTTGGTTATATGCTGTTCCGCTTGATCTTGCATTTCTTCCGGCAGATCATTCATTAATTCGCCCCAGTAGGTGGCCACCAGTGGAATTTTTTTGGTCTGCGATACCATGGACGATACCTGCAAGTCAACGTACTCCGTAATTTTCTGTGTTAGGGCACAGGTTTCATCCGCCGCAGCCTTGCGCTTCTTAGTTGATGGCTTCTATCAAAAATAGTTACAATTAATTATTATAATTTCAAATTAGTCGAATTCCCTACTCACATAGGAATATGAACTGGAACTCTCCTTCTCCATGTCCTCTAGTCCCTTCTGCAGCTGTAGCTCTTGGTCCTCCAACGTGCTCTGGTCGAATGAGATGCTTGGTAGACTGTCGTCGAGGTACTCAGCAAACATCAAATCTGTGTCCTCGCAAGTTTCGGAAGACATCGACGTCTCTAATGATTTTGGTAGCGTCATCGTTCTGTGTATTTATGAATTTAAAATTATTACAAATTTGGAAGCTTGACCCAAACTTACCGCCTTTTATCTGAGAGGTCCGGCAAAAAAGCCATTTCTGACGCAAAATCCCAATCATAGTCGTCATTCGCCTTCGGACCGGGAACAACATTCCCTCCAGCACTTCCACTTGCTTTTTTTTCCTTGGAGATCTTCTGGTGGTAGCGCATGCTGGCCCGCAACGATTTCCATGAGGCTTTGCAATCTTTCACTATAAAAGACTTCGATTTTAGTAACAATTTCATTAAATATCAATTACTTACCGTCTTTTGTAATTCCGCGGCAACAGCCTCCCAGGCAATATTTAAACCAATGGCATTAAAATGCCCCTTGTGGGTCAAATCCCATATTATGGGCTTCGTCTTGACCGCACTAATTAGTTTCAACTTATCCTCGCGCGCCGAAAATTTTTCGGGCCGACTATTTTTTTGTTTGGTCAATTGACCCTCCATGTCGCTCCTACACAAATAATTTGAACTATTTATTTTACCTCCCCGAGAGCAGCTGTTTATTTTTTTTGATCCGGCAACACGATAAACATCGATAACAAAAATTTTCGTCAACTCAGTACCCGCAAAATCTAGCAGGCAAAAATTTCTTCTTCTTTCCTTTTTTCCACCGTTTTTTTTATATGGAGTTTGACAGCTGTCACTCGTTGGACAGCGGATTTTCGTCAACTCAGTACTAGGCTTTAGACGTGATCCTGGGCCTGGAGACTGCACGGCGCAAAGTTTATCCCCCAAAAAACGACTCCACATTATTGATCATAAATGGGCTTAATTACAATATTTTTCGAAAAACTTAACTGATTTTCATTGCCCAATAATTTCCTAATAACATGCAAAAAGAATCGCTAAGATTCATTCAATTCCCTACTTGCAATTCACTCCCAAAGATAGGCCTCATTTTAGGCCTTTTAATTGTATTTCCCCCCTTAACGTGGGCGTGCGACTTGTTTTTGTTTTCGGCCGCGAGTCTGATGAAGGAAACGTTATGCAAGGCAGGATCGGCGCAGGAGATGTCGTAACTGCGGCTTAAGTGCCCAGTTAGGAGGTGTTCTGCCATAAAATGCAGAATGTATTGCCAACAGATGTTGGTCGAGGAGTGGGTACGCGAGATGGATTGGCAGGGGCGATGGGATTTGATGGCTGCGATATGCTAATTGAGACGGACATGTGTGGGCAGTAATTTGTTTGCCTGGCATACGTGTTAAGTAATCGGATGAGTGTAAAGACGCCAATAAAAACTATAAAAGCCAGGGGAAACGGGTGTCCAGGAGGGAAAGCTCTCAGATAGTTCTGTAATGACGTCAAATTATATTTCAAAGGCTGACTATTTGAGGGGCATTCGAAACGCCTTTAAAGTGCGACCCAAATAAGAGGTGCCGGGTAACTGGGTTAGATCCCAGATAGTCGTAGATACTGGTTCGCAACCAAAAATTATCATAACTGAAAATTATTGAGGGAAAATTCACAGATGCTGGCGCAGGGGGAATGCGAGTGGAAATGTCTAAAATTTGCAACAAGCCAGAACCAATTGCTGACGGTACAGCGGCTACAACAATGCCGTTGTCAAAGCCGCGACGAGGATGCAGCTATGAAAATTGCGTTAGAAATCTGCAATTTATATCGCAATGCCCCAAACACACAGAAGAGCATGCAGGCCCAGTGCGGGCCACAAAAGAACGAATCCCAGGCCAAAAACACACTACAAATACGGGGGAATCGCTCTGGCTAGTGTTGGATGCACATCCATGTTCAGGTCCCGGGGCTACGATAAATTTTATTCATAAACTGGGACTTTTGAATACACTGAAAAGGTTGACATAGTAGGAGAGTAAGAGAATATCCGGAGATCTAATGGTTAAAGTACATCTCTATTCTAGATCTCAAAAAGTGCAGGGTAGATCTAATTAAGTGCAGGGTAGTTGTTGTCCCAATTCAAATACCATGTTTTATTAGATATGCCCTTCATATGCAGGGTATTATTCACGTTCGATAATCGCAATTGTTTGCAGCTTGCGCGGCTGCCACAACGCATTCCGCGATTCGAGGAGATCCGAGGTCCGAGGTCCATTGCTGTCGTCGCCAGGTTGCTCGACTGACTCCCCGGTCCATCGTTCCCTGGTCGCAGGAAACATTGGAAAATTGAGCATGGAAATGGAAGACGACACACCGAAAAAAAAAACAAAAAGGCCAGCCTGGACGGGTGAATAGGAAAAAAGTGAAAAAGAGGAATGGCCAGCGACTGGACTGGCAGCGGAAAACCTCTTCAGTGAGGTCCCATCTCCAGGCCTCATTCTCATCCTCGCATCCTCATCCATCCGCGAATCTGTCTCATTTGGTATGCACGCGGCGTCTGCTTGCCAGAGAGCCAGGAATTCCAGGGAGCCGGAGAAGCGAAAAAGTCCAGAGCCAGACCCTCTCCTACTGCCAATTTGTTTGGCCCAAACTGGAGCAATTATTGCAGTTGCAGCTTGAGCTACCTCCGGCCGGGGAGTGGGTGCTAGTTCTTCTAGTTCTTCAGAGCATGGGGGGCATTCAAATCGATTCGGTACGCATCTTCCTGCAACTCGCAACACCAAACATGCAACATGTTGCGGAAACACCGCGCAAAATTGATTTGTTGCCGGCTGAGTGTTAATTGCCAGTCCACGACCGTTGAGACTAAAAAAAAGGAGGCGGACATGGACATGAAGTAACTGTAACTCGGGCTGCCGGAAAATCTGGGCCACTCGTCTGTCGAGGGGGCGTGGCACACTCAAGCACTCGCACACACACTCGAGAGGCATATTCTCTACCAATTATGAGTACGTGTGCGAATGCGTTGAAAACTCGCAAATTCTAATGATGATGTATTGCCGGTTAGGCATCGGCAAGGCTATCAAATTAACAAGATCATCGCTTCCGGCCAGCAATTGCATGAATCTCGCATTGACTTGCGCATTAATCTTTCCAGCTCGATGGCTCCTCCTGGGCTTCCCTCCTAGGTTTCCACCGGCCGTCCACCTGGGTTCCCATCGTCGGGGAAAATTTATGCCGAGGCGACGACTTTGATTCCACGTCAAAACTCATGGGTGTACGAATGCATCATTTTGATGGTCATCATCAGTCTCTGACTATCAAACAATCGACAAACCGCAAAAACCCAAAGAGCAGGCGGTGGCCGGCTAACGGCGGAGACGTTGGCGTTGCAAGTTGCACGTTGCTCGTTGCCAACAATTACCCGGGCCAGTCCGTTGACTGCTACAAATTTCAGGCGTCTCACTGCGAGGCAGCCAGCGACAGCAATCTGCACTCGAGCAATCTGCAACAGCAACAGTAACTGCAACAAAGCCAAAGCCACTTCAGCAGCACAGTCGGAATCAGAGCTAGGGATGGTAGAAATATCGTTACTATTGTTTAACTAGGTGGGGTTTTAAAAATGTATATTTCTTAGGCCCATTTAATATTATGAATAACTAATCTTGTAGCTATTTCTGATCTAATTCTGTTTTCCTATTTTAATATCGCCTTGATTCCATTTAATTTACATCCCTAATGTGTGCGGCAGTTGCTGCGAGGATGTTGCAACCTGTTTCTGCACTTGACCATGGCAACTGGAAACTGGCAACATGTTGCCGAATTGACAATTTCGCTAGGCATGGGCAGCCAGCAACTGTTGTTGCTGCTGCAGGAGTTGCAGTTGCTGCTGTGGCTGTTGCTGCTGCTGCTGCTGCTGCTGTTGTTGCCGTTGTCAATTGTCAGTGCTATTTTTTTTGCGCTTCGTTCTCCCAAAGCCTGGTTTATGCAAATTGCAATGCATTTCCATGGCCCAGCTCGAGTTCAAGTTCCAAGTGGGCGTTTGATTTCAATCGCTGGCATTTTCACATATCCACGGCCATATGTTGCTGGTGTCGACAAACGGATCCTCGTCCTGTTCGCTGTTGGCTGGCTGCCTGGACCGCTCAGACTGCTTTTTGGTATTAACGGTTTGCCATTTCGATTTTATGTTTGGTTATATTTCAGGCCGCTCGTTATTTTTCATTGGATTCTCCTTCATATTTGGCCTCTTGATCTGACTGCCTGCAATCTGCCCCGGACGATCATTAGGGAAAATCATTTTTCACCGCACGTCGCGTCCTATCCGTCGAGTGTGGAGGGATCTCTCCCTCTTGTCTCCGGTTTTCAATTTGTCGATCGCCGTGCACTGATATATCCCCCCAGTCCGATCCGATACGACTTCCCATCGATGACAAGAGTACGTTTCGGGGGCCATTGCCACCACATTGCATTCTGGCATTCCTGGGCATACTCCATCGGATACTCTTGAAATTCTGGGCGGTGGCCTATCTATCCGATATCCATCGAGGCCTATGCCTCGGCTCCTATCTCGTAATTCGATCTTAATGCCCATCGTGTTTGTTTATGCCTCATTCCCCTTGGAAACATGAAAACCCCCAAAAATTAATCTTCCACACTTATTGAGGAGCTGGTAATATTCAATCGACTTATCGTCCGCTTGTTAGCTGTCAAGTGAATGGCATTAGAGACATCACCAGCAATGTCAGCGCTGTGACATTTCAAATTGGGCATGCCAGATTTGGCTAAGTGTGCGTGAGCGGACTCCCTCCCGGTGGAACTCTGCGAGCAAGGCAAGAGGTCTTGGGGATGAGGACTGAGGCATGAAGACTGTGGGATTTTGTCGATAAAAAAATATACATTATATATGGTCAAAAGTGTTAAAGGAATTACAATCGAATGGGAAGTACTTGGTGAAAATACTCAGTATAATCTATCTGAAACTTTTTTTAGGATGTTCCTGGGAATGAATTGTAGTATTTGTAGAATCATCAAATTTAAGGATGTCCCAGGATGATAAAAATGTCCTTCTCACTTTCTGGATTGCTTTTTATCTTTTAAATCCCGTTTTTGTTTAACAAACCCGTCTGTTTAAAATATACATCAGTGAAAACAAAAATTCTCCTGAACCATATATACCCATCTACCCGATGTCTACAGGGAATAATTATACATTGCAGCTATAATTTCAACTGCAGTCTCGCGACTCGACTTGGCATTCAAATGCGGCGCACGTCGCCGGGGTCGTTAAAAATCGAACACGCACTCGAACAATCGAGTCACATTGATCTATGTGCGTCGGGTGCACTGCATACGATATGATTTACGATTGAGCCATGAAGAATGTCACGATTTAATAGGCTTATCGGCACCAAACCAACCCGTTCGTCCCGAAATCAAACTCCGTCGCCAGGCCCTCCCCGGATTCCAATCGCATTTCCAAGCGTTGGCTGCACTGCGTGCGGTCTAATTATTTTATGACAAACCGGACTGGTGGGCGGATGGGTTTGTAGAGACGGGTAGGGAGGCTTGGCCCCCCCTAGGAGTAAAGTTTTCAATTTGGTTTGTTGGCTAATTAAAATTTCAAGCCTGCTCGTTTACAATCGACATAAAAATC